TGAGAGAAAGTGGAATTAAAGACAAACAGATGTGATTCAGTCAACGGAACCCAAGAAATATAAGAGACAGAAGTCGTACGTATAAATATATGACTTTTATTTGCTTTGCATCTTTTTTGGTCTTTTCTTTTTTTTTTGCACGCTCACAGTTGGAGTGTGGTGTACCTCAAAGCTTTTCACACACACACACACACACACACACACACGTCATCACTCACATTCAGATCATACACACATACATACAAGAAGGAATAAATAACATATGTACAGGTCAGACACCGAACTGTCGCTGTCGTGTCAGGAGACGACACAGTTTTCCTGAGACAGCTGCTGTGGGGTTTTCTTTCTTTCGGCATCTTAATGTTCTGGATCCTGAACCTGAGGCGGTTTCGGAGGGGTAGGTGTTTAGAAGCACTTGCGGTGAACGATGCTGGGACCGGCCTCGTCGTACTCCTGCTTGCTGATCCACATCTGCTGGAAGGTGGAGAGGGAGGCCAGGATGGAGCCGCCGATCCAGACCGAGTATTTACGCTCGGGAGGGGCGATGATCTGCAGAGCGGGAGGAAATAACAGGACGTTTTAAATCGCACAAGCAGAACGTGACATCACAAAATACTTTTTAGCTGTGCCATCTGCTAACAGACAAAACGTACCTTGATCTTCATGGTGCTGGGAGCCAGGGCCGTGATCTCCTTCTGCATGCGGTCAGCGATACCCGGGTACATGGTGGTGCCGCCGGACAGCACGTTGTTGGCGTACAGGTCCTTACGGATGTCGATGTCACACTTCATGATGCTGTTGTAGGCGGTCTCATGGATGCCAGCGGACTCCATACCTGTTCAGAAGAGCGGTTTAATTTACTGCTGCATACAAGTCATCACCACTGAGATATCGTGTTCGATTCTCTGAGGTTTAATCAGTCTCCCATGTTTGGGTTCATTGTTCACTTCAGTAGCTTCTCCATGAGAAACCGTTGTGGGCACGCACCGATGAAGGAGGGCTGGAACAGGGTCTCTGGGCAGCGGAAACGCTCGTTGCCGATGGTGATGACCTGGCCGTCGGGCAGCTCGTAGCTCTTCTCCAGGGAGGAGGAGGAGGCTGCGGTGGCCATCTCGTTCTCAAAGTCCAGAGCCACGTAGCAAAGCTTCTCCTTGATGTCACGAACGATCTCACGCTCAGCTGCGAACAGGGCAGAGACCAAGAGGCTGTACGTCACAAAGCAATTCCAGAGAAATAACAGTGTGCAGCCGGATGAAATATCTACTGAGTCCATGTTTTAATATGGAAAAACCTCAAGAAGTCAAAGGTTCAGGCCCATGATGTTTCAGATTATTCAGTCTTACACAATTAGAAAATGGATAAAGTTCCTAAAAAGGAAGTTATTTCCTGAAACAGAAAACCTGCTTTTGACCTGCTGAGGTTTTAGAACAAAGTCAAAGTTTTTACCGGTTGTGACGAAGGAGTAGCCGCGCTCGGTCAGGATCTTCATGAGGTAGTCAGTCAGATCACGACCAGCCAGGTCCAGACGCATGATGGCGTGAGGCAGAGCGTAGCCCTCATAGATGGGCACGTTGTGGGTCACACCGTCACCAGAGTCCAGGACGATGCCTGAGAGCAGCAGCAGAACCAGGAAGAAGAGAATTCTTGGTCACAGTCTCATACTTTATTCATCAAATTTCACAATTTATAAAATGGATTCTTGTCATGGATAAAAAAACAGATTTCGACTAATGAGTATCTGACTCATGAATTAATCTGTTGATTCACTTTTTGATTTGTTTTATTTCTTGGAACCCAAAGAGAAGTCTTTAAAAGTCTCATCTTGTGTCAGAGATGTTAAATTTATAAGAAATTAACTTTTAGATGAAGCTGAGAATCAATTAACAGAATCACTGGATCAAATGATTGATAAACTAATCCTAAAAAGTAAGTAATTAATCAAACTCATTTAATGTCACTATTTGACATTGAAATTCAGATTATAAATGAATAGTTAGACTGAGATGTGACAGAAAACTACCTTCAAATAAAGGCTGCATAGTTTTTGTTGGTCACATCATTGGGTTCTAAATAAACAATGAAAATAACACTGACGGATCTTGAGCTGCGACTCACCGGTGGTACGACCCGAGGCGTAGAGTGACAGCACGGCCTGGATGGCCACGTACATGGCGGGGACGTTGAAGGTCTCGAACATGATCTGGGTCATCTTCTCCCTGTTGGCTTTGGGGTTGAGGGGGGCCTCAGTCAGCAGGGTGGGGTGCTCCTCGGGGGCCACGCGCAGCTCGTTGTAGAAGGTGTGGTGCCAGATCTTCTCCATGTCGTCCCAGTTGGTGATGATGCCGTGCTCGATGGGGTACTTCAGGGTAAGGATGCCCCTCTTGCTCTGGGCCTCGTCTCCCACGTAGGAATCTTTCTGACCCATCCCGACCATCACGCCCTGAGGGGAGGAGGGGCAGGAAGTGAATGGTAAGTGTGTCCGTATTTACTTCATGACACACATTCATCACTCACATGCTGAGGAAATAATTAGATTCACCAAAACTTTTCTTTGAAGGAATAAATAACTTATTTAAATGAATAAGTTCCACTAAAAACAACTAAGAACTTAAGAGATCAAGGATTAGAACCAAAGTGTTAATTAATGAGTCATCAGAAGTCGAGGGGTGTTTCTTTAGTTGTAATATGAAAGCTCATCACTAGATGTCGCAAAAATCCCCCGTGCTGCAGCTTTAAGATTTATTTTCCCTTGTATGCTGCGGCCCTCGTGTACCTGGTGACGGGGGCGGCCGACGATGGAGGGGAACACGGCCCTGGGGGCGTCATCTCCGGCAAAGCCAGCCTTCACCAGGCCGGAGCCGTTGTCGCACACGAGGGCGGTGGTCTCATCGTCGTCACACATGTCTGCTGACTCTGGAGGGACACACACAGGGGGTTCATGTACGACACAGCTTTGGACACAGGAATTCACCATTTGAGATTCATTTAGAAATGTCACACAAGAAAAAAGAGTTTTAATTATATCACTAACTTTAAATTATTTGGTTCAAAGCAACATATTCAAATCTCTTGTTCTTTTTCTTTTGCAAATCCTACAAACAGCAGAAAAAAACTCTCCTCGGTTTCTTCTTTCAAACTCTCACACTGATTCAATCATTGCAGCTCTTACACCTAATATGTGATGATTTATTTCAAGCAAAGCTGTTCAACAAACACCAGTGATGAATAATAAAGACTAGTTAGCAGCAGCAGAAGTTAAATGCTGAACCAGGCAGACAGAAGGAGCAGGTTTCATTTCATTTCATCCTCTTTAGTAAAATAACCACTAATTGATCTTTGGTGAATTCAGAGCCTGACAGGAAGTTTGCTCCCCGTCAAAATAAAGGCTGAGCTTCTCTCCATGTTTCTCGGTGCTTCAGTTAAATTGTTCCTAAACTTCAGAAAAACTAAAAATCCGTGAATAAAAGTTCCTCCTCCCTCCAGCTGCTCCTCCGCTTACCTGCGCTTGTCTCCGGCTGCGAGTGAGGGTGTGAGCCGCTGCTGGTTCCCGGTGAGAGGGGGCGACAGGCTCCATATATACCCCGGCTCCCCGGACCACTTGTCCCAGGACAGACGCGGGAATGTCCGGCTGCCCCGCAGGAATTCACGCGCCGCTTCGTCCATATTTGGTCGCGCGGGAGACGCACGCAGACGCTCGGCTCGCGCGCCGGGATGACCACATATGGAGAGGAAGTCCCCGCGAGACGCCGGGGAGCGCACGAGCCCGTGTATGGAGAGAGAGAGAGAGAGAGACACACACACACAACTTTTAAAAAACACACACACTACTACTACACACACTCACACACACACACACTACTAAAACAAACACACACACACTGACACACACACTACTACTAAAACAAACACACACACACTGACACACACACACTACTAAA